TGTTTAGACCCTCTTATGTGATATTAACACCATAACCAATGATGGTCACCGCTGGACACAGGAGGACAAGTTTAACCTGGAAAGTCAGCTGTTGCTGGCCACACAGGAGCCACTGTGCCTGGACCCCTCCCTCTCTGTCTGCCTTGTGGCTAACAGGCTACAGTATGAAAAACATAAGATGAACACAAGACCTTTAAAAAGGTAGGCCTGTGGCCAGTCAAGTGTGAAAATGGCACATCTTTTTCAACTGACTGTATATTGAGTTATTTTATTCAGATATCCCTTTCTTTAACTTGTATTTTGCATCATAAAGTTTGATGAAGCTATTTGGATTTTAAAATGTTAATGAATATTTCTTATTAGTATTATTATTAGATAGAAGAAAAGAGATGTAACTGCATTTAATATTAATTTTCATTAGACAAAGAGATGAGAAGGTGTTTGTAGAGAAAATGTGTTTGAGATTAAGAGGGAAATACAGTGGAATATGTCTATCAATAAATTAATTTCATAGCATATATACATTTAAATGAAAATGACTCTTTAACTTTATAGTGGCACATTTTTGAATGTCAAGAAAATTTGTGGTTTTATTTTAAAACTTATTTACATAATAATGATAGTATTAAATTAATAAATAAGATGACATATATTGAAAAAGGTCATTTGTTGTCCTAAAGCAACAGAGAAAGCTGAAATGAAGAGAACAGTTTGATGAATTTTTTTTTACAAACTTTCTTAGAATATACCAAGATTGAATCTTTAATTACGTTTAATAGAAGGCATTCTTAACCCATTATTTTTTATCAATATTAGTAAGTAAACATATATGCTCACTATTTGCTTTCTCATATCTTCAGAGCAGTAAAAAAGTTTTCCCAAACAGCTGTGAATAGGAAGAGGAAATTTGCCCAGTGCCCAGCACCATCTAGTTTAAAATTGTATGACTTTCTTCATAAAAAGAAGGACAAGTTGCGCAGTAACCCTCCTGTCAATCTGAAAGTTGGTAAACCAGTGAGTATCAGTAATATATTGTTTGATTTATAACATAAGCCATTATGGATTTTAATAGTCTAGTGGGATTTCCACAAAAGATGAATAGTAGGGGCATTTTGGGGTAAAAGTTGGGAACCAGGTTTATTAGCATAATTTTGGGATGCTGAATCCGATTAACCCGGTTCCCAAGCGAAATTTTGCGTATTTAACGGTCTAATTTGCAAAAAACAGATTTCCTATTTTCTGCAATATCTCTGGAACTAGACAGGCAAATATTACAAATGAAGTGTCTTTACCTATATTTTCAGGGTCGAGGAACATTATTAAGATGTTTCTGTTAAAATCAGATTTACGTAATTTTCCTAAATATGCAAATTAGGATCGCCATTACTGAAAAACCGTTTTACTTCTGTATCTCTGTAACTAGGCAAGCAAATATGACAAAAGAAGTGTCTACACCTATGTTCTCAGGGTCAGGGAATGTGATAAATCAGATGTCTTGTCTGATGGGTAGCACTGACTTTGTGAATCGTGCCCGAGTATCACCTTTTATTGTTTCTTCCTTGTATCCGTCAAACACAAGTCAATCTGCTGATAGTTAGAACCTGTCTTCAGAACTGCTCATATGTTAACTAGGCAAGCATACATGACATATGAAGTGCCCACACCTATGTTTTCAGCGTTAGGGAAAGTGGTTAAGACATTTTCACTATAATCAAATCAGCAATGAGTGCTACACTGTCACACTGTAGCAATTATTTGAATCTGAATTGAATTTTGCAATTAAACACTGCGCTACCATTGGGATGTAAACATATTGGATCACACAACTGCCCCTTTTACCTAGATTTAAAAAAGATTTCCTTATTTATGCAATGGAGGGATTTGCTGAATCAAGTAATTCATGTGATGCAATGTACGGACTTGACATTTAAATGGATTTTTTTCAAACATATTTTCTTTGATTTTTTCCCATATAAAAGTAATGGATGAAAAAACACTTGTTATCATGTTCGATATGGCTTTAATAAATCAATCCATGTGAATACATCATCAAAAATTTAATTTAAAAACGCGTATTCAAATCAGCGTTATAAACAGCGCACGGATAATTTTATAGCTGATAACAACAAAGTATTAAATACTTATGAACTCGATATTATCAAGAATATCAGTTGGTAAGGATTTTCTCTTACACAACAGAATCATCAGGACAAATGTGAAAAATGGGAACTGATAAGAACGCATGCAGCCTCTTCTAGCTGCAACCAGAGCCCTCACTCGGCCAGGGATCCATGCAGAGAGGTTTCTGAGAGTTTGATCCAGTATTGTGTTACACGCATTAGTCAGAGCTTGCCTAAGCTTTTGCCGATTTGTAGGCTGGACGGGTTAGCTCTTGATTCTGCTAACGATTTATGCCCACAGGTTTTCTATAGAATTCATGTCAGGGGAATTCCGTCAGCCAAGGCAACTGGTTTACCTCATGGTTTTGCAGAAAAGCAGCCATTGCATGGGCACGGTGTACATTGGTCGGGCATTGTCATCTTGCAGGATGAAGTTGTCCTGGAAGCACCTTCTTGCAAATTGCAAGCAAGTATTCTCTAAAATGTCCTTTTATTTTATCTGGTTGAGGTTTCCATCAATTGCCACCAATAGTGTTTTGGCTCCAGTGTGGAAACCGGCCCATACACAGATACTGCCACGGCCACAAGTCACTAGTGTGACACAATCCTCGTGCAGTAACTAGTCTGGAAGCCTACTGACTGATTTAGCCATCACGGTGGTGGAACTCAAACCCTGCCTCATCTGTAAAAATCTACATGAACCCAGTGCTGTGCCTGGTACCGCAAATGGTGTCTAGCCCACCCCAGACGCAGATGTTGGTGTTGCTCTGTTAATAGAGGTAGCCAACTAAAAGTAGCCTTGCATTCACTAGAGTTCTAGAAACATACTTTTGAATGGTAATTTGCCACTCATTTTTTACAGCAAGAGTTGTCTTTGTCTGGTTGTTGCGACATAACCGCAGAAGCATATGTGCGGTCTACCCTTCTGGTGGTGACTTTAGGACGTCCTGGCCGTGGTCTCTGTGTTAATGTACCAGTCTGGGCGTGTTTTTGTAAGACGTTAGAAACTGCACCCTGGGACACATGCAGTTGTTTGGCAATAGCAGTTTGCTTCAGTCCATTCTGGCATAATGCAACAATAGTGTGGCAAGTTGCTGCCGTTAGTTCACATACCGTAAGATAAGCTAACAGTCTGCAAAATATCATTGCCGAAATATAGAGACTTATTCTGCAGCACTGCTGCCCTTTTATACGCATTCTGTAACCAGCCAAAGAGGACTGCTCAGAGAAACTGCCACATATTACGTAATATAACCGCGCTTCAGAGAAAGCAGCCTAATGAACAATAACCAACACACCTGGCTACACATATACCTGATCACAATTGTCGTATGTGATCAATTTTTCTAAAAAAGTTAATTTATTATCAACACTTTGCTTTTGAACTAAAATATTCCATATTAAATGTCAATATGTATGTGTATACTTTAAGTACACGATGACATC